GACCTCTTTTTACTTTTTCATCACCACAGTCATGGCATCAAACATCTAAATCTACCCAGCTACGACGCAAAGTTCACACATTTTGATTCCCAGATCTGTTATAGAAAGGTCTGTGGGTGCTGCCCTGATGAACCTAAGCTGTCAAGAATGTACAGAGCCTGAAAACAATAACATGGAAGACAGAACTATAACCCTGAAATGAGTAGTAATATAACCTTCGTAAATATAAAGTTTGTAAAGGTTGTGTGTTAAAACCTTTGCCCAAAAACTGAGATCAAAGTATTTCAAGGTTCTCTTATATATCTTTCGGTCTTCACTTTTTTATGGCACACAATAGAGAGTAAGACAATGTAGCCAGTTTCAAACCAAGTCGATATTTTCAAGAACTCTTTCTTATACACACACACAGACACACAGGCGTTGAGGGACATATTTAAAATGCATTCAGAGCAAGAGTACAATAAGAGTGTTGTTTTGTTTGCTGCTATTTTATTAACCTATCCATCATAATATAACAACAAGTGAATCGACTGAAAATATTGACATCAGCGGGAGTTATGTACAGCAGCTCTCCCTTCACATTAGTTAGTGGACCATCAAACACACAAACAAAATCTTTAAAGCTGCACCGATCAATGTGTTTATATTAACAACTGGTCAACTGACTTCATGTAATTTTAGGGACAGTAATCACTGCAGTTCCCCTGAGCTTTACCCTTTCAGCGCCTAGCAGCTCATTGTTTTGGTTTTATGACCGACGATTTTACTACTTATGATTCACTATTATGGCTCTCATCAGTGTAAAAAAGGCAGCAGGCAGCAGTTTTCTGTAAAAAAAAGAAAAGCTCTGATAAACCTACTGAACACTACCTGAAAATAAAATGAAGACAAAGTTAGCGCCCAGCTGTGTGCATGTGTCAAAAAAGATATGTATACTTTGGGATTATCAGCTGAAGAATGTATTCCCTCATGCTAGACTAGAGTTAAAACTGAGATAATATCAAATCAAATTTATTATTTATATTTATATAGCACATTTTAAAAAGATTTTTGGTCGAGCCAAAGTGCTACATATAATAAAAACACCCGACAGTAAAGACATATATAAGATCAGTTACATGCTATTGTCTCCAAAGGCGGGAATTAGTGTGGGCAATAGCTCTACAAAGAACCAACAACAACACTTAAACAGCAAGACAGTACAGCGGACACAGTAAGAACAAGGACAAATACATTAAAATACTGCATGTGCCTTGTGATATAATATATAAATACGTTGGCATTTTAAAAAAAGGCCGGGAAGAAATCGTAAAAGTCATGACTAATAATTACAAAATATTGCACATGCCTTGTAAGGAAAAAAGATAGGAATAAATTGGCATGATAAAAAACAAGGAATGAAATCATAAAAGTCATAAAACCATAATTACAAAATATTGCACATGCCTTGTGAGGAACACTATGAATACTTAGGTTTGATAAAAATTCAGGAGAGAAATCATAAAACCATAAAAAGCATAAAACTGAATGCAACACTATGAACTGCGCAAGGATTAAAATGTTTTTTCTGTTAGGCTGAAGACTTTTGGCCAGACAGCAAACTCAAAACGTTGCCCAGTGTCTGCTGCATGTGTAAAATAAGCTGTAAAGTGTTCGCTATGTCAACTTTATATATATATATATATATATTCACAGCTTGTTCCTCAGCCCCTAACAGGCGAAAAAACATGTAATACTGCTTTAAACTTCACTGTTAAACAAATCCTTAAACAACCAAAAGTGATAAGACAGCTCAACAGTTGTTTAATAAATCACAGTCATGAGTTACCCTTGAATTGAGGATAATATGGTGGGAAAAAAAGACGTTATCCAAGCAAGTTCTCCCTTATCTCTTGTATTCTGAGTACTGTGTGAATGTGTGTGTGTGTGTGTGTGTGTGGGGGGGGGGTTATAATGATCAGTATGCATTAGTTTTTAATACAATTTAAAGTCATAATTGATAGTAATATTCAAAGTGTATTAGTGATATTTGTATGTGAAACCCATACACATCTAAACCTGCAGTACATTCATTTGTTTTAAGCCATAGTTTGTGACAGGTATTCATATCAATATGTTCACCCTTTGTACTTTTAATATTTTATCTACAGAATAGCTGTAGGGAAGACAATTTTAAGGCTGTTAACAAAAATATGTCTTGCCATATTTTATTCCTCTCTGGTTTGTGACATAAATGCCATCATTCCGTGGTTTAACCTGGGATTGCTGTGACGAAAGATCAAATAGCTGCAGCCGTGACAACTTTCCACTGTTTTAAAATCCTCTCTGTGCCACATTACAAACAGTGTTTGATCGCATTGTGAGTTTTATTTGTTTGTCATTTTGATCATTTCCACCAATCCATGTTTCGAAAAACCAGAGCAGTGTGAAATAGAAGTGTAACATCTTCATAAATAAACATTTGGGGATGACAAAAGGCTTTTTAGTTCAGAGGGTTTAGAGCCATGGCTCATCCTGGGGAGCTGCTGTTTATATGAAAACGGGCATATAAAGAGGCGTGCACGAGTGTGTGTGTGTGTGTGTGTGTGTGTGTGTGTGTGTGTGTGTGTGTGTGTGTGTGTGCATGTGTGTTTTTCCTGAATGAGGGGCGTTTGGTACGTGCATGTGCCAGTTCTCCAGCCGTGGAATGAATCAGATCTGCTCTCAAGACCGCGTACCTCTCTCCAACGGGGGACTCGTAAAAGAAAGCCCTACATGAAATCCATTATGCTTAATTCCCCAAATCCATAATACCCTCAGAGGTCTTAATCTCCATCCCATTCTTATATAAATTAGCTTCCTCGTCTCTGGCAGACAGAGCTTTCTGAGTCGACACCAAATGCCCAGACCTCTCTGCTCTGAGTTGGGAGGAATCAATGCGACTACAAGGAACTGCCATGATCTTTTCTTCAGCCGTGTCACTTTGAAGGAATAGTTTGACATTTTGGAAATTGGCTTATTCGCCTCTGGTGGAGAGTTAGATGAGAAGATTGATACCACTGATTGAATAGGGTTTGCTTAGCTTAGCAAAAAGTCAGGAAACCGTGGACACAGCCAGCCACAATATCACATTTTGCTAAACTGACACCAGTTAAAGCATACAGAGTTACTTATTATCAGTCTGTTTAACAATTCAGCAATGCATGTACAAATGCCTGTCAGGGAAATAATGATATCCTCTGGGAGTGCAAGTCAAACTGAATCAAAAAATATGGGCATCATGTCTGTGTGTTCTGATTTGACTGAGTTATGACTGGGATGCTATTTTTGACACAAATTGCAGCAATCAGGCGCGAAGGGGGGTTAAAGTATCTTAATTGCCTCCATGCGCTGTGTATCACAGCCGCCTCTGCTGCAGCTCCAACTGCTGCGGCAAAACTAAAACACAACTTCCTGTTGACTTATGTCTAATAGGCCTACATGCACATGACCTCACATACATAACTTAAAATAACTCAATGTTGACTTGTGTTGTCCCACAGGACACAAACAGCATTTGTGTCCTGCGTTTTTAACCCATCTATTTAACCTGACCTATTCCTTACATAGACTTTGTAAATTTTTCTACAACGTCAACTAACTTCTTCCTTTTCTCACTTCGTAATTAGAATGAATAATAAATAATATTGTCTTAATATGCTGCTTATACCTATGGCGTTGTTTTTAAGGTGAGGTTTTGTAGATTTAGTTACTCTAGGACTGAGCTAGGCTAGCTGGTTCCCTTGTTTCCAATCTTTCTGCTAAACTAAGCTAACTAGCTTCTGCCTACAGCCATATTGCACAGATACAAGGGTTGTCATCTAGCTTTCTGCAAGAAAGTGAAAGAAAGTTTCCCCAAAAGTCTAACTTTATCTTGACTAGGAAAGGGACATCTACATCTCACAGGGGCCGCCGTCCCCAGGACACAGAACAAACTTGTTATTTTTGAGGGCACGCACACTGAGGGAGAGAAATTAAGCACCGCTTTTGTTTTGTCAAGGCTCAGATGTTTTTTTGGCCTCCAGTTTCCTTTCTGTTTGGGGCATCTGTCAGAGGCTGTTTTCTCGAAAGTAGTTCTGGGATGAGGATGAGTGAAGCACTCCAGTGTGTGTGTGTGTGTGTGTGTGTGTGTGTGTGTGTGTGTGTGTGTGTGTGTGTGTGTGTGTGTGTGTGTGTGTGTGTGTGGTGTGTTGTGTGTGTGTGTGTGTGTGTGTGTGTGTGTGTGTGTGTGTGTGTGTGTTTGTGTGTTTGTGTGTATGTGTGTGATGGCGGATAACCGGGGGCGATGCACCACAGTTTCAAACCAGGAAATAAAAACAACATTCCAAAGAGAATAATGCAGCAGGAGGAGGAACCTAGTTCTACCGAGGTCCCCTGGCATTACTCGCTCTTATGTGTGTGTGTGTGTGTGTGTGTGTGTGTGTGTGTGTGTGTGTGTGTGTGTGTGTGTGTGTGTGTGTGTGTGTGTGTGTGTGTGTGTGTGTGCGTGTGTGTGTGTGTGTGTGTGTGATGCCTCCACCAGCTTTTGTGCATCTCTATGTATGCTGGTTATGTACACATGCTTGTCCTCCAGCAAAAGAATGAATCACACACACACACATACAAACACACACACACACACACACACACACACACACACACACACACACACACACACACACAGAGTCACATAATTAGTGCTGGGTCCCCACAGCGGCATATTCCAAGATTTTTCTCCACATTTCCAAAAACACAATGTTTTTCTTTCTCTCTATAGCGACATTAATCAGGAGGAAAGACTTTAACTGTTTTTCAGCACATTTTTTTAACCCCCCTTTCTCCCCCTACTTATTTCCCTAACTCTATTACCCCTCCCTCTCCTCTTAATCGCTCCTACTTTTAAACACCTCCTTCTGTAATTATTTCCTTCCTCTCTCCCCATCTCCCTCCCCCTCTTTTTATTATTTCTGCCTCCCTCGCCGTGCTTCCCCCTTCGTTACTTCTTATTTAATCTCACTTCGTTTTTACTTTCCCCCCCTCGTCACTTCATCCCTTTCCGTTCTCTCTCCTCTGTCTGTCTCTGTTAAATGGGAGCAGTGACCCCATTACTGAGCGTTGGTGCTGCGGAGCGCAAGAGGAAGAGGAGGAGAGGGAAGGAGGAGCAGGAGGAGGAGAGGATGGGAGGATGGATTGCGTTGTGTGTGTTGAATGGGATGATTAATGAGCGTCGCCTCCAGAGGGTGTTATCCCTGCTCCGGACCAGCAGGGACACCACTGGGTCACCTCTGGTCATACACACGCACACACACACTGCTCTGATACACACTGCACACAAAGGCTTTTACACTCTGCAAACACACACACACCTCTCACACACCTGTCACTGCTGACATTATCATTAACAAAGGGGGGACAATGGGATCGGGGGCCACAATAGCAAACACAACGAGAGCTGGAAGTGTTCACAGTTCATGAGCAGAGTGTAACGTGAGCCGCTGCTGCTGCTACGCCAAATTTCTCCTCCTCAGACAAATCTCTGCAGCCGATTTACCTGCAGATACACGATTGATTGATTTGATTAGTCCCATCGAAATATTGAAATCTTCCGCAGCATTTTTCGGTGTTGATTAATCTGTTCATTATTATTTGATTAATAGAGTCATTATTTAGTCCAGTGGTCGTGTCATTTGAGGCTAAAAATATGTCTCCCGCCACCACCCTCCTCCCCCTGTACTTATTTTAGATAACTATACATATTGTGGAAATAAAAACCTGTAAGTTAACAGGATTAAACAGCCAATGACATAAGCTCCTTTGAGTTTTACTAAAGGATTACTATCAGTGCAAATGACGAATAATAATGCAGCTTGCTGACTTTATTTTCATTCAATGACTTGACTAATATAATCCTTTTTTAAAGAGTCCCTAATATGCTTTTATGGAGGTTTTCCCTTTCCTGTAGTGTGTTGTATATTCTAGGTAGGCTATTTTTGTATGTAAATGGTCTGCAAAGACTAAAATCCCAGAGTTCCCCCCTGCCTTAACGCTTGAATTGTAGTCTTTTGGTTACTTCAATAGTGACATCACTATGTAGCACTCGCGCTTATAGAGTGCCACAGTGACGCGTCCTAAAACCCTAATTTTCTAATCATAAATCTATCGATTAGATTTATGATTCGAAAATTATAAAAGTAGGGTAGACATGTGGATATTATACGGCTGAACAAAACGTGATCTGTCTCTTCAATTTGTGTCAACCACAGACCTTATTTTGAACTATTTTCCAAAATCCTATGCAGAAATTGCATTGCTTTTTGTCGAAGGAACCGGGAGGAGTTTACTTCCGGGTTTTAGGACGCGTCACTGCGGTTCTCTATTAGCTAGCACTTAAACATTGTAGGAAGAGGCGGTACACTGACTAATCACAACAGAGCTGGCCAGCCAACCAATCAGAGCAGACTGGGCTCTGGTTTCAGACAGGGTGTATGACAGGCATTATGAGACAAATGTAGCACTTTCTGAACATTAAAGCATGTAAACATGTCACAGTAGACGCACTAAATACAAATATGAACCTGAAAACGAGCATTATATGTACTCTAACAGAAAATCAATCAGGGAATTTTGTCGTTTAAGATGCCATCCATAGAAGCACCCTAACAGCTCCCTAAGAACAACCTCATGTGTGTTCATTTGTTCTCGTGTATGTTTTCATGTTGCAGTGACCCTGTGAGCAGCACAGGCTTCTCTGGGCTGTTTTCTTGACTTCGTTTTAACTCATCGTCTCAACATGATGAGCGTCAACTGTTTTCCCTTTCTTCTTCTTCTTCCTCAGTTAAATACGTCCATCTCTTCCATTTTAACTTGTTGTTCTGCTGTCTGAATGACACTTGCTATTCTGAATACTGATTGCTTTGCTGGCGTGGAAGCACTCTGTTTGTTTATTGACGTGACTGAACAGATTCATCCATTTAGTTCCACTCTGGGTCTTGAGTAAGATTGAGAAACACTGCTTTAGTCTATAAAATGTCAGAAAATGGTGTCAGAAACTCTCCCGAGACCAAAATATATTTCATTTATAATCATATATAACAGAAATGGTCACATCTGAGAGGCTGGAACCAGTAAATGTTTGGCCTTTTTGAAAAAATAATTGAGTAAAATGAATCAGAATAGCTAGCTATTGATATTCAGTTGATTAACTTATTATAAAATCAAACTGTTTCAGCAAAACCAAGCACTTCAAAATGTTATTATACTGCATGCGTAAAATGACACAAGTCTTGATAACTATGTTCTTTTGATTAGAAAAGAGGAATTAGGGACTCTAGGTGTTTCAGAAAGGTGTAAATCCTCTGTTTGAGAATGCTATTTGGAGTCTGCTGTGTTTGCCCTCATTTTTATTTCCCGCTTTCATTCCATGACTCCACAGGACTTCCCTCTTCTGCGTCTCCCCCACTGTTTCTGCCTCTATAGAAACCACCCTCTTATACTTCAGCCACATGTGGACAGTTGATGGCAAAATGAATTTCACTCATTCCCTCGATGATGAGAGACGATGGGAGACCGGGGCTGTGCTGATGTTGACTGCAGCAGTTGAAGATGCTGCGGTAAATAATTTCAAAATATATTAAGCCACCCAGATCTAAACCAAATGCTGCACTGGTCTCCATTCTGCATTTTTCAAGCCCAACAAAACTTGTCATGACGGTGAATTTGCAATTATAAGTAAGATTACCCGCAACTTCGCAAGAGGTTAGACGGCTGCAGATACCCAATTGTTGAATCTAATAAATACGCAGCAAAAGGCTTCTGTAAACGGCACAGCTGAGCAGACTCAGCAGAGCAGAATGTGCTGCCCTGGAAAATCCTACCCAGAAGGGCTTTCTAAATGTTGCAATGTAAATGCAGCATTAGCTCGTTCGCAGCTCTGCCGAGTCTGTGACTTCTATTATTCAAATAATGGGCTGCTTCAAAAACAACGTACACACAGTTTTACCCGTTGTCGTGTGAGAGCTGGTGCTTTCAGACGCTTCTTTTACTCCCAAAATCTCAGAGCTTTACCTGTTCAACCTTTATTTCTTTTCACAAGTAATTGCTGCATTACACCTGACTGCCTTCCAGCTCTCTTTCTCCTTCTCCTAATCCAGCCTCATAGAAACACACTGAACCGTACACTCTCTCTCTCTCTCTCTCTTTCTGCAGGACTCTCTTTTAAAGGTGCACACTTGAAGTCCTTCTCTTTTGCTCAATATCAAACATCATAATAAGACGAATTGGACACCGAGCACCTGTTTACATTTGATCTTGTGGGGGTTAGCTCGGTCCACACGCACTGGACTGAACTGACTTTTTTCTTCCTTCACCGTGATAATCCACTTAGCAGCGTAACTTCTGGTTTCCTTCAGTGTCCTTGGCTCCGTTTCCAGAAAGCATCTTACCATTAAATGTCATCTCTCGCTGCACTCTCTGTTCGCTTTATTCACAGAAGTGCAGCCAATTTGCTATTTGGAAGCGTTGAATGAGGATAAATTATGTGACATTTCACTTTGAGCGACAATTTCAGCCTAAAGTGTACTTTGTTTTGACAAGACTCTATACATTTGTACCAAAAAAGTCACCCTTCAGGAGGCTGGCTATTGAGCAGTTGCTCAATGGTTTTGATTACTGTAGCTTTTTACATCTTGATCATAAAATCTGATAAATAAGCCTGCAGAACCTTCAGTTTCGGTATAATAATGTAAACTATATATCTCTGGTTAGAGACAGGAAGGTGTGATAAAAGTTTACATTTACTGACTCACAAAATTAAAAGAAATCCAAAATAAAAACCATGACAGGCAGATCTGAAAACTCTGGTATTAGATATTCACTTTTATAAATGAGAGTTAAGTTTGCTCAAGGCTTAGATAGCCCTAGCAGCAGCTGAGATGAAAGTGTTTCAAAGTATAAAGCATTATTTTTCTACATTCTTTACTTTAGGTCTTTCAAATCCCTCAATGCTAAGTTTATAACACTGAGGGCCGACACAGCAGTGGGGTTTGATTCGGTGTCGAGCAGCATAAGAAGAAGCGAAATATCTAAAGAATTTAATTGAACTTGGGATATCCACCTCATAGTACATTATCATTGAGTTATGAAACATTTTAAGATCTAAACTAGTTATTTTCGTATAATAGGCTAGTTAATAATAGGCTAGTTATTGCCTTCACCAAGGACAGATTTCGTCAAAAGGAATAACAAGCGATGTTCATAGAGTTTGGAGGACAGCCTTAGACAATGAAACAACTAATTGGAATTTGAAGGTAATCCAAAAAGAGTATTTCCACATGCAGTCAAATGTTTTAGTTTTCTTTTAAACTAAGAACCCTTGGAGATAAGATCTGAATGATAATATGAGGATTGAAGGATAGGCAGACTCTTTGAAATAGTGTGTTATATAGGTTTTTATGCATGTCAAATACTGTATCTGCAAAGGCTAAAATCTTGCAGTTCCCACAAGTGAGAGTTTCTCTCCCACAAACCACGATCAGACTCCTTTTTTTACTTCCATAACGCAGTGACATCACTATGTTACACTCACACTTCTATTGCCTAGCGCTCCAAGACATTGTAAGTAACAGGCTAAGGGGCAGGATATCTCTAAGCGGTTGACCAATCACAACAGGGTCGGCCAGCTAACCAATCAGAGCAAATTGGGCTCTGGTTTCAGACAGAGGGGGAAAAGAAGTGTTGCAGCACAGGCAGTATGAGAAAAGTAAAGCATGTAAACATGTGACAGTAGAGGCACAAAATAGAAATATGAACCTGAACATTAGCATAATAGGCCACCTTTACCATTTTTAACTAATAGAACAATTGTGTAAAGATATTCACAGTCCCTAAAGAGGATGCAGTATATTATAAAAGACAAGCTAAATGAATGCTAGCATCTATAGCACAATTCACTGCTTTTCTAAAGTGCAGCCTAACAGAGGAGCTGGTGCTCAATGCTAATAAGATTTAAACTTAAAGAA